GAAGGAAGGAAGGAAGGAAGGAAGGAAGGAAGGAAGGAAGGAAGGAAAGGTTTCTGATGTTCCCTGCCAGATCCCCATAAGGAAGACCAATGGGAAGCTGGCAGGAAGTTGAAAGTTGCTCCTCATCTCATGCTTTTTTGCCCAACCTTGGTCATTCTGTTTCTCTGATTAGGTAAGGAAATATCTGTGAAATGATAACTTATTGGTACACAATAGTGCTTAATCAAATCAAATAAGACAAAATAAGTGTTACATGAATGAGATAAACACAATGTGTGGTGAATGCACTGTTTTAATGTAATCCATTAAACAACTCACCCAAAATATTAATGATTTTACTGAGAACTATGTTCTTTATATATGTTCAGCATATATATAAAATAATCGGTTTGATGTTTTTATTTAATCTAGGAGACACATTTTGGCAAAACATTTGCTATGTGCAAATCAAAGGTGGACTTTTGTCATCGCATATAAGTGAAACATTATTGCAAGAGAATGAAATGGCACTTGAAATACATTTTTTTTAAAAAATCAAAAAAATCAAACTAATTAGAGTAATTGTGAGCAATGGAGGAATAAAAATAATTAGTGTGTTCAATTGTTATTAAAAGCAGAAGAAAAAAATGACTATAATAAGAATGAAAGTTAATCAAATATTATAACTTGACTGCATGATTCAGACAAAAGTAAAAATACATTGATGGGGAAGAAGTAGTACATGATTACATTAACTTCAACAATATTCAAACCTTGCATCAATATTACATGTATTGGCTAAAATGTGGTGTTATTTATTGTTACCTTTATATCCCAAAGCTTTCCTCTGGGAGCTCAAAGTGATAAAGAAGGAGAACTCCACTCATTTTAACATAATAGGAATATCCCTGTAAGAAAGGTTACAATGAAAATAACGTGTTCCATGGTTGAGCGTGGACTTCAATCTTTATCTCCTCAGTCCAACAGCATAGGCACTAAACTGGTCTCAGTTGTAAATCAGAAATTCTTTTCCTGTTGATTCTTTAAATGCCTCTAGGGAATGCCTAGAGATACATTTACTTGTTAGTTTAAAATTTGCTACTTGATGCCTGTCAAATTAGCTTCCCTCTGTTATTTACAATGGCATAATCCTACAACAGATAAAGAAATCAGATTAAGAATGTAGAATGAACAAAATCTAAGAATTTATTCTCTACTTAAAATTATGAGAAATGCTGGCTCTTGAGCATGTGTATGGATGTCAAAATATATCTGGAGCTATATTATGGTATAGAAGATTGGGGAAGGGTGGATGGCTAGAGAAAGAAATGTAGAATTTATAGGAATGAAGGCATATTTATAAGTAAATAATTTATAAGTGAAAATTAGACATCTGTTTTGCATTTGGCCCAATCATCTATCATCTCCATCGGTGAGTATCCCTTCCATAATTTCAACACAAGTACACATGCTATGTTCAGAACCAACCAATTCTGTTGGATTTGAATCCCAAATAACACATGTTGTTACTGCAGGTGCCTCCATAACTGGGTGGGCAGGCTGAACAAGGTTTTCCCATTTTGTAAGGTGCTTCTCCTATCCAATTGCCCCTGCAAACAAAGAAAAGCAAAGTGTGTGATCAATATTCTTGTCCTGGATACTACCCTAGTGCATATTATCTCTTTCTTTCTTTCTTTCTTTCTTTCTTTCTTTCTTTCTTTCTTCCTTCCTTCCTTCCTTCCTTCCTTCCTTCCTTCCTTCCTTCCTTCTTGGTGCCTTCAAGTCAATTCAACTTTTATACTGGTGTAGGCTTTCAGGTTGTTATCTGTTGGGCAGTGTTGAGCTCCAGGTTTTAGTGATCATGGTCTGGACAACAAATTTTCTGACATTACATTGGAAACCAGCGTTTAACAGCAAATAGATCATTGCCTACATTGCCTACAAAGATACAAGATATAGTTGCTGGCAAAATGTCAGGAAATTTGTTGTCTAGACTACAGTCGCTAAACGCTGACGCCTACTGTTTTCTTGGCAAGAAGAAAACAGTAAATCACAACACCAAAGTGACCCATACAAGACCCTTATGAGCTAGTACACTATTCAGAATGATCTAAGTAAGATGGGTGGTATAGATACAAATAGAAATTGATATGGATATGGAAGTGGAAGTGGAAGTGGAAATGGAAGGAAGCAAGCTTTATTTCACCCCCTGCCATTTGTATGGGAATTATTTATTATCAGAGAAACTCTTCTCCATGATACCTACACCTCCCTATTGAACAGGATCAATTGTTGGTCATGTTCACCATTGATACAGACTGGTAGAAAAGCAATTCAAGCAAAAAACAAACCAGAAAAATTAGAGATGCTGCTGTCTCTCTGCATTAGGAATAATTAAACATCTTTCCCCACTCCTATAGAAGAGATATTTTAATTTCCCCTTCACTGTAGCATATGCTATATTCTGCCATGCCCTCATACTGCCCTGTCTCATCCTTATCATGTAATTTGGGCAGTTTAAGTCAGGGGTGGGATACAACAGGGTTAACTACCTCGGGATTTACGAGCTTCCCTGCACTGTTGGGAGCTGCTGCGCCTGTAAATTGTCATCAGCATGCTGTGTGCAGAGATGCAGCCTTTGAAATAGCCCTCTCTTCCTGCTTTTTTAACTGCAGCTGTGCCTCATTAGGCAGCTGAAGTTGAAAAATCAGGAAATAAAGATCAGGTAAGAGCCCGGGTGGGCAGTTGGGCAAAAACATCAGCAGACATAGAACCGGTTCTATGTCTGCTGCTCTTCAGAGCTACTGGTTCTACAGAGGTGGACAGAACCGGTAGAAACCCACCCCTGGTTTAAGTCATCCTGAAGTGTTCTAGTTTTACGTATTTTCTTTTTCTCTCAACACCATTTCTGCCATGGATGCAATCTGGCATGCTTCACCAATGATGCAATTGCCAATATGGTCAGTAGTTGGGATATACCCAGCTGTGATGGGTCATTTTAGCCTACAATGAACATGCTTCTTCCCTTCCAGTCATTAATCCTGGAATCCTCCTGGGACTTTCATGGTCATTTTGGCTTGTGCTGCAAGACAGACTGGACACAACTGGGAACAGGGCCTGAATAACCTTACTCAGGGCCAACAAGACAAACTTCACTGACATACAGGCAAGATTAACAGAGGCAGATCCAGAATAGTACATCAATCAGAGATGCAATGAGCCAGAATAATAGGCAAATTATGGGCTACTTTGAGTATTATTTGTAGAGTTTATTTTCTGTAGTACAGTAATCTGCAGAGTTTTTTAAGCAGTACTGGGAGGCCATACTCTGATAAATTAAGAAATTACAGTATATGAATTTCTCCTTAAATTATAAGATTCCCACAAACTGTATCTTTAAATATGAGATATATCTGAAAGTATATGATGTTACAAGGATGAACCCTTTTCCCTCTGGCCATTTTCAATCCTAAATAATTCATTGCAAGTTGGTTTCTTTCCTCATGCACTCACATTTTACACAGAAATCCAGATCCAGAGAAGTCTGCACATGTGTTGTAGTCTTTCTGTGTATGCCCCTTCCCTTACCATTTTCCCCTTAAGAATATCTATCAGTTCTCAGAAGGCACTATGGAATTCATCAAGAATAGTTCTTTTATATTCTGTGTTCCACATTCTTCTCTCTATAACCTCATATTAAACCCTTATGCTAAACCAAATCTTGCTCTCTGTCAATGATGAGTCCTCTTTAAAGTTAGCTTTTCTCAACTTAAAACTGAATTGTTGAACGAGGATACCTGTAATTCCCCATAATTTTGAAAGGTTGCCATCTAATGTATTTGTATGACACTCAAATAGGTTACTTACTTGATGGCATAATTGCACACTAAGTAGACTGCTTGTTGCCATGTGTTGCCCCACACATTTATGTTGGTACAAGTGTGGACAGCACAGCCAATTCTGTTGCTGGAAGCCCACACCATCTGTTAGAAAGACATTAACACATTTTTGTAAGAGAGAGGTAGATATAAAAACAAAAGAATTTATCCAAAACAAAGGGATGCTTATCTTTTACATAATGTGAAAGGCTTATTCGACAATGGTTATTAGCCATAAATGGAATTTTTACATGCTCTGGATCAGGGTTCTCCAAACTTGGCAACTTTAAGACTTGTGGACTTCAACTCCCATCATTCCTCAGCCAGTTTGGAGACCTCTGCTCTGCATGATATTATTCATACCCATCAGTAACTTTGGGATGGGGAAGCAGTAAGGAAACTGCTATTTAGTGATAACTGATATATAGTATTTCCTATATATCTATGTCTCCCTTAGTGGATTTCAAGAAGCATTTGGCTACCTGCTCAGGGCCTAGAAAACAGGACTATACAGTTTCTACATTACAGAACTTTGATCTGTCTCAGCTGGACTTTTCCTATGTTCCTTTTATGGTATCCGCTAAAGGTTATAGTCTAGGTCAGCCTTCCCCTAGGGGATGTTCTCCAGATGTGTTGCACAGCAACTTCCAAAATTTACAATCAATGACCATGCTGACTGTGGATAATGGGTGTAAGAAAAGACTGGCAAAGATTGATCTCTTTAACCAAACTTTGATGGACCTAATAACTAAAAGTTTCCAAAAAGGAAGCTTTGATAATGTGTGTGGAGGAAGTATTCTTGCTACACATGCTTAAAATTATGGAAAGGTGAGGTTACCATCTGGTGGATATTTAGCAACATTTCAACACATCATTCTATTTTTGGACAAGCAGAAATAGGAAGAAAGGACCTGTTCAAAACATATATGAGTCAAGTATTGCTGGTACCTTCTTTTATTTGTTTTTTGTAAAATTTATTGGCTGCTCATCTTACATCAGAGTAACTCTGGGCAGCCTACAATCATAAATAATAAATAATATATGGAGCTAAAAGACAAATAAAATACTACAATAAGCCAATACTGTGGCCTAATTAAAAGATTGGGTGGAGGAGCAGGATGGGGGGGGGGTTAAATAGTAACATAGAATCCTGTCCCCAGATAGAATTTTATCTCCATAGGAGTTTAGCATCAGAATATAGTAGAGACTGACAACCCCCCCCCCCAAATATTGGAGCCAAACATTACAAAACAGTTGACAAATATTTCATTTAAATCTGTATGAACTCTTAATTCCCTTGAAGTAGTAGGAAATACTACTTGAAGACTGCCAACAATTTTAATTGTCACAGTTCCTGAGTCTCTGTGGCGCAGTGGTTAGTGCAAGCTACTTCTGCAGCCAGCTGCCTACAATTTGGCAGTTCAAAACCCACCAGGCTCAAGGTTGACTCAGCCTTCCATCCTTTCAAGGTGGGTTAAATGAGGACCCAAACTGTTGGGGCAATATGCTGACTCTGTAAACCGCTTAGACAGGGCTGTAAAGCACTATAGAGCAGTATATAAGTCTAAGTGCTACTGCTATCATTAACAGCTTGATCCTCATATGTTTATGAATAATGTCTTTCTGTGTCTTGAAGAACTTTACCCTGCACTTTACTTTGTGTGAATGGACATAATGGACTACCAATCTTAGCCATATCCCTTTTTAAACAATACCATTCGGGCGGGGAGGTACAAAATTGACTTGTGAAGACAATCCTAGTCATTAGAAAGGAATTATTACTGGGGAGGGGGAGGAAATTTTATGAATATTCTTTCTTTTTTTCTTTTGTAAGAAAAACTGAAAGCAATGGATGAATTACTATTCCATTACTATTGTTTACCAAAAAAAAGTGGAAAGCCATGGTAGAAAACTACAAGTGGAAGATGAAATATGTGTTGCATAAAATTCCACAAACAGTACAGGGAGATTACACAATAAAAGTTTTTCCTGTGTGGACTCTAAGAAAAAGGAGGTCTAATACATTAATTAATGTTGGGGTATTTTAATTCTGCTTTAAGATGGAGGGGAAATATTTGCTGATCCACTTTGGGCAACGGAGTAGCTTGAGTCTGAGGTCATTTAATATTATCTCAGAATCATATATACTACATATTCCTAGGTAGAAGTTTGTATGCGTGTTTTCAGGCCATTCTGTGAATTTTAGGCACTTCGCCTTCCTCAGGTTTAAATAGAGACAGTTCAAGTGTTCACAGAGAAAGAAAAATAATGTCTGGAAACGGGAAGAGTAAAAACAGGATTGCCAGATGATTGAATAATTTGTGCTACCAGACATAAGAATAAATGAATTGTCTGTGGAATATGTTCATCAAATTGGCCATGTTCTTGAACAGGAGCATAAAATGAATAGTATTAATGTCCTAAATCAATTTTGGTTAGGGACAGATCCTGATACACAGCTTATCCAGGGTCCTGGATAACAACGATGGAATCCCCAATTATAACTTCAAAAAAGGCAACTATGATCTTATAAACAACAATCTCTGTTCCCTTGATTGGCAATTTCTATTCACTGCATGCAATACTGTAGAAGACCAATACAACATATTTTTACTTGAAGTCAAAAGAGTCATCAAACTATATGTACCAATAACAACTCCAAAAACCAGAAAAAACAGATTACCCATAACAATAAGGAAGCTTCAATCCAAAAAGAAATCACTTTGGCGGAAAAACAAATCTGGTCATGTTGCCAACTTCAAAAGCTGATACAAAAATTTATGCCACCAGATAAAGACTGAAGGCACCAATTATCACATTAAACAAGAGGAATACCCTTCTATGCACCAATTCCACCCGTGCTTTCTACAATTTTGTAAATAACAAACTAAAAGACTCAAGGTCCATCCCACCCCTGAAAGGACCTAATGGTAAAGACTGCAACGATGACACCATTAAAGCCAACCTCTTTAACACATTCTTTGGCTCAGTATTTGTAAACAGCAATGGATAATGCCCAGTATTTCCTAGTCGAACCACAGACAACTACAATGATCTAATACATATCGATTTTACAGAAGACAATGTTGAAAAAGCACTACGCAATCTAAAACCATCTCTATCTATTGGACCGGATGGAATATTTTCCTACTTCTTAAAAAAGCTACCCGCTGCCATAGCTGAACCTCTAAGCATAATCTTGAAAAATCTTTCAGGACCAGCTCCTTGCCAAAACTATGGTCACAAGCCACGGTCATCCCCATCTTCAAAAAGGGAGACCCCAGCCTAGTTGAAAATTACAGACCTATCTCTTTATGCTGCGTCACCTGTAAAGTCATGGAATCAATTATTAAACAATCTATCAACCTTCACTTAGAGACAACAACCAACTCTCTAATAAACAATTTAGTTTCAGAAAAAACTATCCTATAATCTGCAATTCTTACACTGCAAAAACATATGGACTACACAACTCGATCAGGGCAAAGCAATAGACGCAATCTACATAGACTTCTGTAAAGCCTTTGATTCAGTGGTACACGACAAACTACTCCTAAAACTAAAACCTTATGGTATCTCTGGACACCTGCATAACTGGATAGAAACATTCCTGACAAAAAGACAACAAATGGTCAAAATTGGGAGCACTCGGTCAAATTCTGTACCTGTCAACAGTGGTGTCCCCCAAGGCAGTGTTCTAGGACCAACTCTTTTCATACTCTACATAAATGGCCTCTGTGATATTAAGAGCAACTGCGTTCTCTTCACTGATGATGTAAAGCTATTCAACACCACAGACAATACTGCTACCCTTCAAAAAGACCTTGACTTTGTATCAGAATGGTCAAACAAATGGCAATTTCAAATCTCAACAAATAAATACTCTGTCTTACATATTGGCAAAAAAAAATCAGAAAATAAAATACAGGCTGAATAGTCAAGACCTTGTTGATGATCCAAACTCTGTCAAGGATCTTGGAGTACTCATCTCTAATGATCTAAGTGCTAGAGCCCACTGTAACTACATAGTCAAAAAGGCGTTAAGAGTTGTTACCTAATCTTACGTAGCTTTTTCTCTGGTAATATCACACTGCTAACTAGAGCATACAAAACATTTGCTAGACCAATACTCGAATACAGCTGATCAATCTGGAACCCACATTATGTATCTGATATTAATACAGTTGAGAAAGTCCAGAAATATTTCACAAGAAGAGTTCTCCACTCCTCTACTCGTTGTAGAATACCTTATGCCACCAGACTTGAAATTCTAGACCTAGAAAATCTAGAACTATGCCACCTTCGGTCCGATCTAAGTATAATATATAAAATCATACACTGCAATGTCCTACCTGTCAATGAATACTTCAGCTTCAACCACAACAATACAAGAGCAAACAATAGATACAAACTCAAGGTTAATCGCACCAAACTTGATTGCAGGAAATACAACTTCAGCAACAGAGTGGTCAATGTCTGGAATACTCTACCTGACTCTGTGGTTTCTTCCCCAAACCCCAAAAACTTTATCCTTAGACTGTCTACTATTGATCTCACCACTTTCCTAAGAGGTATGTAGAGGGCGTGCATAAGTGCATCAATGTGCCTACCGTCCCTGTCCTATTGTTTCTTTTATTTTTTATTTTTCTTATATGTATCCATGTATTCATAACTATGTTTTTACTTATACCTATTATCTTATAAGCAATTGACAAACCAAATAAATAAATAAATAAGGATCCAACCAAATAGACATCCAATTTTTTCTTAAGGATGTCTAAATGACCATTTTAGCGTGGATGTAAACAGAAATGCCTAAAGTTGTGTTTACAAACAGATGGATGATTCTTTCTGGCTGGACTGTGATAATTATTCATCCCCTTTAATGTCAACCTGTTCAAACATTTTTCTCTCAAAGTTGTAGGTGTATAATCATATGATTAAAGTGCATCTCCTATGTTCCAATTTTTTTGTGATCTCTTTAATGGATAAAGGAGACGGACACTTTGAGATTGAATCGTTTCAACAGGAAATGGACTGCATCCATGGATCTGCTTCATTTATTTAAAAAAGAGAGCAACTGGTGAATGAATGAATCAATGGAAGGAGGAATGAATTGTCAATTCTTTGTTGGAAATAAAATCTGTGTGAGAACAGTTTATTGAGGTTACAAAATATGTTTCTGTAATGTGGAATACCCAAAAGTATTTGACCAATCTGAACCAAATGGATTTTTCTTAATATTAGAAAATCATCCATTTGTTCAACTTTGCTTGCATGATTACAAGTGTTAATATATGCACACGCATATAAGGATCTGTATAAACTAATCTAAATGTCATTTTTTACTCCTTAGGCACAATATTGTTCTGAAATGTCTAGTTAATGGTCTGTTGTGATTTCAGTCTGATGTCAGTATGTTAAAGCTGCTTTTGGAAAACCTGGTTTTGAAAAATGACATAGACAATTTAAACATAAGTTAAAAAAATAAATATTTACGTAGCTATAATGGCTGTAGACAGAAAATAAATATTTACCTGGGTATAATGGCTGCAAACAGAACCATTACATTTGGAAGGACATCTAGGCTTGCATTCATGGGGATAAGGAAATGTGTAGTGTTGCTTCTCATAATACCAAGATTTTACTAGGTCCATCACTGAATAGTACCTACAGAGGATCATACACAGTGCATAAATTATTCATTTCTTTTCATAAGAGAAGCAAAGGAATCCAATATCCAAATCATTTGACAAGGGAAAATGGTGTTTGATGCCACACCTACATTTTTTCTCCCCCAAGAGATCAAATATGGGTATCTCTAGAACCAAATATGGGTATCTCTAGAATCCACCACTAATATCTGCAATTCCAACACAACTAGACAAATAAACTGGAAAGAATTAGATAGATAGATAGATAGATAGATAGATAGATAGATAGATAGATAGATAGATAGATAGATAGATAGATAGATAGATAG